AGCTTTGGCCGCCCAAAGCGGGGCCCAGCAGCACTTCTGGGTCCCTGCGGACCAGGGGAAGAGAAGCCCTGTACTGCTGCCAGAAATTCCTCAAGTGTTGGGAACCAAACAGCACGTGTAGCACAGCTGTGCTTCAGCCCAGAGCCATCCACCCCCTGCTGCTGGCACAGCACCCCAGGGCAGGGGCTGCCCCCAGCTCCAGCTCAGCCTAAACCCATGTTTCCCCCCATCATTCCTCCACCTCCCTCTTCCCTCTGGCTGAGCAGCAAGAGGGCTGGAAGCAAACTACAGAAACAGGATTTTTATTCCAATGGCAAATGTATTTAAATAATTTACAGTCATTGGACAGCTTGAAAGTCTTTTTTTTCCCCCATGATTAAATCACAAAGATGCTAAAATAAAAACAGTATTTAAAAAATGACCGGACACAGCAGGAGGGAGGGGCTGGGCACAGAGGAGCTGCCAGCTGCAGGAGCCCAGGGAGCAAGTAAGGCCCCTGTGGGCCAAGACCCCTTTCCCTCAAGGCTGGGTCTCTTCCAGAGGGGAGAGGAGCCATCCCCTCCCTGCTGTGTGCTGGAGCAAAGGCGGGCAGTGGGAGAAAGGCGCGGGGTGCCTGCGGGGTCCTGGTGGCATGGGGCAGCTCTGTGCCCAGAGCTGGCTGCCAGCCCCACGTCTCTAGTCTGGAGATGGCCCAACAGGGTGGGAGGGAGGCGAGGGCACAGTACTGCCCCATGCTGTGCCCTCACACCAAACCTGCAGCACAGGTGGCTGCCAGCTCCTCCACCCCTCTGCTGTGCCCAGGCTGCCCGTGCTGGCAGGCCAGGGGGACTCCAGCCCCAGGGGATAAGGCAACACTCATGTTCAGGGAAGGACCCCAGAGCTCCCCTGGTACCATCCATCCCTCCTGCCCCACATCAGCTGTGTCCCTGACCTCAAGGCAAACGCAGGTGCCATGAGGTGCTCCCTAGGGTACCAGGGGCACTACGGCTCCTGGACAACAGCCTGAGCTACCCCCCTGCCCCTCTCAACCCCTTCTGCCCCCAGGGTACACAGCCCACCCTGGGGGCCTGCTGCAGCCCAGGAGGGGTTGGGAGTGACACTGGGGTAGCTGTGGGCCGTGGACGACGCTGTCACCCGCAGCAGCAGTGGGCAAACAGGCACTTTCCACCTCCCACGGGCCCACACCTGGGCACCCGTTCTCTCCCCAGCCCCGCCAGCCCCACTTTTAGCTCCAGACATCCAAGGAGTACCGGCCCTTCGTCATCAGTTTCTTTACATAGTCCACGGCCTGGGGCTGGCTCATGTCCCCCAACTCAGCCACGATCTCGTAGAAGGTGTTCTGCACGTCCCGGGCCATGTTGCGAGCGTCGCTGGAAGGAAGACGACCATGAGCAAGGCGGTAACGCATCAGCCCGATCACCCCCGAGCACCCAAATGCGGCCCGTTGGCTCACTCCCACCCTTCTCCAGAACAAGGACAGTGTAACCCTCCCAGGGCTTGTCACGCACAAGTGGGGCAACTGAGTCACACTTACTTTCCTGAGAATAGGAACGTTTTCCCAAAGTCCCTTCCCTGCCACCGGACTTACCCGCACACGTAGATATGAGCGTTCCCCTCATTAACCATCTTCCAGATGCTCTCCTTGTTCTTCTTCATTAAGTGCTGAACATAAACCTGGCAGGAAACAAGGAGAGGGTGAGCAGAGGGGCAGAAACCCCCATGCCACAGGCCATGGTGAGGGTGGGGAAGCCAAGCCCATGCCCATGGCTCCACAAGACAGTGGAGTGGGGAGGCTGGGCATTCCTATGGCTGCCATGGGCCTTCCCCAGCAGCGACGGGACTCCCACGCTGGGGGTCTCCAGCCCTCAGGGGCTTTTCTTCCCCCACTGCCTCAGCTGGCAGCGATGATGGGCAGTGTGAGTGAGTGGCTGGGGGACTAGAGCGGTACCTTCTCAGCCTGGTCCCTGGAGAAGGCAACGTTGAGCTGGGTGAGGACTCCCTCCTGATGGAAGCGGGCCAGCTCCTCACGGTACAGGTAGTCCTCAT